CTCTTGAGTTAAGAACCGTATAACAGCAACGATGTGTTAGCTACTTTGCAACACAGCCCAGCGCGAGAACGACTGAACCGTTTAACAGGGCAAACCATTCACCAACACATGCCACTAAATACCTGTACGTCAAGCAGTCTGAATCTTCACTGTGGGAGCGAGGAGGCCTAGCGTTGATCTCTCTTAGGCTAGCTTCACAGGACGCACAATTTTCATTAATGGGTTGTGACTCAGCCGGAGGCAACAAAGTTTCTCCTGACACCATGTGATGAGTTTTTATACAGAGCAGAACATTATACAAAAGAGATTTATTATATTTCAGTATGGTCTTACTCACCATCTTTATTTATCTGCCTCTCTCGAGCCAGAGGCTCACTCTCCAGATTGCATACTACAATCAACACAGCTATACTTTCTCTATGCTTATATGAAGATTGGTAAATTACATGACAACGTGCCTGGAGGTCCAGGGCGTGGTATGCGCTTTGCTTTGTACGCCACTCTGTAGATTGAAGACTAGCGCTGGCGTTTTCTTTGCAAAAGTGAAGGAGGGTAAATTGGCATTACAAATCACAAACATACTTTAAGTGCCATGGTAAGTCAGCGTTACATTCTGGTCTAAATATAAAATCAAATCTAGACCTAGGTAGGCAGTCTGCCTATCTTTTTTATCATCAAACACGGCTGGTTACTCACAATTTTCTGAGGCTACTCTCTACTGTGTACACTATGCAGCAGTGTGTTTTCTTTACCGTAAGTTTTACTGTAGGTCCTCCAAATCGAGAGATGAATATTTGATTGACTAGCAAAATTTAGATAAAGAAAATAACTTGTCATATTAACAACAAATCATGAGCTTTAGTTTTGATTTATTATTTAACTGATCGAACTACAGAATGCTCTTTAAAATAAAACTGCAGCGATCTCGAGGTTGAACCATGGGTGCAGAGAGCAGGGCCCAGAACCATGTGTGTAAACTAATAGAGTACTGGGCGATTTAGAACTGTCCATTTTCAAACAAGGGTATAACATTATTTTTTTTACAATTACTTATTTTTAGTTGTTTTTCTTTCTTTATATTTGTTCATCGATTCGTAAATCATTGAATATTAGGATAGTCTCACCTATGCACGGTATTACAAACACTAAATAACTATATAAAACTACAATAATTATATTCTACTTTACATTTTACAAGGTATTTATAGCATAATATAGAGCTTAGAACTAACTGATCATAAACTTTCATATTTATTAACAAATTAAAAGGAAATATAACAAGAGCATCAATGATGCAATAGCCCACTTGACAATAGCTGGCAATGTTTAAATGCTGTCGGTGGGTGGAGGTTGTGTGGAGTGTTGTTATGTGTATTGAGCATAAAGAAAAAACATTTAAAGTAATAGAGTTAGTTGTATGAATCATCATAGACCTTTTTTGTTATGTTCACTTAACAGTTAGGAAAGGTGTGATGTCGTGTACAGTGATATTAAAGAAAATATGGTTGTTGTAAGGTTTGTTGTGTACGTAACTTTTTGAAATATTTTGTACTGTAATTATAAAGATATTTATGTAGAGGTTTATGATATAAGTAGACAGTTTGGTGAATGAATGGAATTTGTTGCATAGAAGTATTTCATTGTGAAGAAATATATTTTTCCAAAGGTGCATTATAATTATGTATATCATTTGTCTTTCTTTGTTAGTTAAACATGCAGCTTTGTTTGAGAAAGGCTAAATAACTTCTTGGCTGACGTCAGATATTGATGTATGTATATGTATACATATATATATATATATATATACACATATACATA